TTAAGTACCGATATATCCAACCCACACAGTAAATTGGCCGCCATGTTGGACGTCAAGTTTATTAAGAGTTCAATGGGGGAAAACACATTTTCTTGCCTTGCTACCTTCTTGAGGCCTTTTTCGGAAGCTTAGAAAGCATCCTGAGGATCTAATGGGGTCTAGTAGTCACCTGAGAGATTGCTATCAAGAAATACAGAGCGGTTTTCTGGTACCAAGCCTTTTTCTATCTTTTCTCCATTGCTGCCAATGGAAAGTTGACGTCCAACGAACTAATTTTTTTTCTTGAAAGTTATTACGGTATGCAATGAATACATTTATTTTGCAATGAATATACTTAGCACGCATATCCTCTATACTACTCATCTTCCAGTCACTAATGGATAATAAGAAATTAAGGAGACTCACAAGCGACACAAAAAGACTTGTATTAATACTTATCCTAACTATCACCTCATACAAGACAGAGTCCACTGGTGGCCCATATACTAGTCACTCTTCATGTGAACTTATTAATAATTTTTTGATACAACAGTTATCAAGGTGTATACTGTTATGATTATAGATTGTACACTATGCATACTCAATCCCTGGACATGCTGAGTTAAGTTTTGTGTTGTTAACTTTAATATAATCATCACGTTAGTCACTGAGCAGTAAATGCTTGTAGTAGCTGTATGCCCTCTATCTTCTGCAATCCTAGCCTAATTAAGCACAACCCAATATTACAACGATTCAGTTCATCTTGACCAATAAGCAACCAATCAGAATACACTATTTTACATGATAAAAGGTGGACCAGTGACAGATTATATTATCATAAATCTAACACATGAACATCTCTTGATCTCTCTCTCTCTCTCCTTCTCCAGTATATACTGTACATTCCTTCTCTTACTGACACACACTCATGTCACTGTCTCTCCCTTTGTTGCCATCATTTCTTTCTATTTCCCTCTCCTTTATTTCTATCTCTCCCTCAGTCTTTAATAGCTTTTCTCTAGCTGACCTTCCTCCATTTCAGCAAGTCAGTCTTGTTTCCATTCACAATATATTTCTCTCAAAAAGTAGCAGATAAAAAGAAAGAAAAAGACAAAGCAAAAATAAAAGCACTTTAATAATAATAATAATAATAATAATAATAATAATAATAACAATTTTTAATAAAAATGTTTATAAAAGAGATGATACAAATATTTAAATATGTCCACACAGTTCAACCAGTACACCAGAATCCTGAGAATGACCTGGAGAAAGAGAGAGAGAGAAGAAATGACAAATTACACACACACATACCATATAAGGATCATAGGATGTACAATATTATCAATATATTGATCATCAAGAGGACATATTGTCATTATTATTATTATTATTACTTTTATTATTATTATTAGTATTATTATTATTAAAATTATATAATTATTATCAAAAATACCACACAAGG